CTCTTACTGGTGTCTAAAATGAAATCCTATCTTACCTGCTTGTAAAGTTCCTAAACTTACTTATCGCTAACTAGTAGGCTGAAAAGGGAATATAGACAGGTATACTTCAGCTTTTCACATCTGTAAGATGAGGAAAGGTCTAAAAATATGCAAAGCAAATAATCAATAATGTATCTACATAAAAGATAAGAAAATCAATACCACGCTAGATTTGGTACAGAAGGGTAAACAAAGGACTTCTGATAAACTGCTGCTGCTGCAGCAGCAGCTTGGAGTCTAGCCTGGTGTTGGCTAACATTATTATTTGCCACAGTATTTGCTTGCGAGCTCTGAGATGTACTTGCACCACTTGATCCGGGGCCTGAGAGAGAATTAACAAAGGTTTAGTAAAATATATACAAGTGCCACATTCATTCATTTGTACAAAAAACATATATACATAAAAGTGTCCCATCTCTGGATTAGCTCTTCCAACATGACTGTCATCCTTAGGATACGAAAACTAGACATACAATCACTTCTCGAAAAAGAGAAAAAAAACTAGACATACAATCCACAATCATAGTGTCAACAACAAAGTATAAACCTCGGGGGAAAACAATCAGAACCATCATCAAAAGTCAGAAGTCTGCCATTGGACGGCCTGCTATTAATGTGATTCACACTTCAGCACTTATGCTACAATTTGATGCTCGAAAACAGATTATTAGCAATGAATGGAAAGACTTAAACCTTGTTGAGCATCTGGTCGCGATCCTACCACATTCGTCCCATTTTCAGCTGGCACAACAAGGGCTCTGCAAGTAGGACAGGTGTGTTGACGCTCTAGCCATGAACGGAGGCAATGCACATGAAACAGATGCCCACAAATAAGTTTCTTAGCAGTGGTCATCTCCTCACGACATATGATGCAGGTAGCATCACTTCTGCATAAGCATAGAAGTAACCGATTACATTAGAAAGTTGGGAAGAAACCAAAAACATACAAATGCTATGAGTGATCAACTTACACATCGAGCTCTTCTGGTGTAGCATCTGGAAAACGGTCATTCATATTTGAAGTGATCTTCCGATAGCGTATGTAATCGGCAACTCGAATCTTGAAATTGCGGAATGTCTCATAAAGCTCCCGAATCAAATGCAGGGGAACGCCATAGTTCCTAGGAAGTAGACGAAAACAAATAAAATATAAATGCTAAGCAAGGAAAAGGAAACGAACATGAACAAGTAACATGAGAAAAATCAAGTGAGGTGTCTCATTGTACTAATAACAGGAGCGAAAGAAAAAAAAAAAGGCTTAATAAACAAGCCTGGGTCAAAAAATTGAAAGTAACATCAACAAAAATAAAGAAGAATGAGCACTTCTAANAACTTCCATTAGGGTGGCCAAAAAATTATGTATCCTCGGCACTCCTTCCAACACATAGGCAAAGACGGCCACAGAACGTGCAGAGAGATCTAACAGGGCCTATTGATCCAGAACTTGACTGAAGAAAATTTGAAAAGGAAAAAAAAATGGTTTCAGGGAAACCTATAAGTGTGGCTCATTTGGTTCACAGCAACGACAACCAATTATATGAATGCTGTGTGCAGCCAAACTTATAGCTCTCAGTTCATTAATACTATAATCCCAAATTCTGTATATAAATCTTGTGTTGGTGAGACTAGGTATGATAAGATGAGAGCAGCTTTTTTGCAACAAAATTGGCAACTAATATCATCAATAAATTTCTAGATAAGGAAAATGGAATGGACTAATAAATGTTTCCTTACGGAAAAAAGAAGTGTAAGTAGTCAAATAAATGGATGGATGGAGCTTTCTACAAGAAACTATGGCTGCTCTTGATCACAATAGAAACTTATGTAAGAGAAGGATGAAATTTATTATATCCAGAAGAGATACACCTCTATATAATTACTCTTTTTTTTCTGTTGTTAGAAAAACCTCTAAACACTTTATGAGCAGAGAAATCAATAGCAAAATAGAAGTTAAATTCGACTTACATGAAAATCACCATGAAGAAGCACAAGTACAGAGACAAGTGGAGCAAGTCTCGGATAAGTTCTAAGTAGAAAGTATAGACAGGCTTCTTCTCCCATTGTCCTTCCATAAGCATGTCGCTTATGTAGAAGACATATTTTACAAAAGTTGAGACAGTTGTTGTCGCAAGTATCATATACCTGAATCATTACCCAAAAGAAGTTGCTCTTCATTAGGGAGAAGAACATAGGATGCAGGTAACATGATCAAACTGCAGTTAGGAAAAAGAATACGAGAAGTAATCAAGTTCAAGAACATATTTCCAACAACTAGAAATACTAATACTTAGTAACCACAGTCTTGAAGTTCCCTCATGAAGATACTCAACTTAACATCTGGAGAGTATATACTGAAAGCTACGATCCATAACTTAAGAACAATACGTGAATCAGCCATGCATTAATAGAATTCATGGATATAACAATGTTAGTACATGCATGAAAAAACCAAAGGATTCTAACCAAACAGTGAATCATCATAAATCATAAAATATAAATTATAAAAAATCAATCCTAGCAAAGAGGATTGAAAATTGGGTGTACTAACATCTTTACCTGATTAAGATTTGTAACGTAGTTTACATGACATGTGAGATAAGACTGCTATTCCAAGAGATTTGACATCATCCAGCCCTTACAATAGACAAATCAGGTCTCTAACAAACACGAGCTTTAACAATGTAATACTAATAAGTATACCGAAATCACGGCATTTTGCATCAGCTTAGAAGATAAGCAAAGTAGGAACTGCGTAAAAGAAAATAGCACTCTTAGATCCAAAGCCTACTGTCAACTTTGCTAACGCGCCAGCACCACACATAAACATGATACAATCCCATGCTCCAACCAAGTGATTTGTAAGGCATGAAACACGACTATGGAGGCCCTCAATCTAATAAGACTACTGACGTCTCTTTTTTGTTTTTTGAAAAGGTAAGGTAGTAAGACCACTAACATCTCTCTTCTTCTCTTGGAATATCACTCGCAGTAGTAAAAACACCACAAGCTAGTAGTGGAACTCATGGAGCACACATTAAGCAAAAAAGGGAGCAACAACAGTGAGTCAGAAGAGCTTCACTTACTCGAATGCAAAGAATAGAGAAACAGATGCCTGTCTTGTCTGTATCAAATAGCTGACAGAGTCGTACAAGAAGAGACTGTCTATGAGGAGGAGAAAGCCCAAGAAGGAGACTATGCGAACGTGGGACAACGTAGTAACAGTTGGAGTTGTTTCAATATACTCGACCCTCTTTTGAGCCAACCAGTGCAAGCCCTTGATAAGCAAGAGCGCAGTTACCATTGCAAGAAACATAACGGAAAAGTCTTGCCGGAAAATTGTGATGGCAAAAAGTATTTCCATTAGTTCCCTCCAAGACTGCTCATTCAGCCTCTCCACCTCAGCCTCTCGAAGGGAACCAAGGAAGATTTTCTTAGTCAGCTGCCACAAAATGCACATGAGGACAAGACCCATGTTAAGAAGAAGCACCAGACTGATCTTGGATGTTGATAAATAAACCATTGCTGGGTAAAATTGGCCTCTGCTACTAAAGGCATGATAAATAACGGCCAGTGTAGCTATTATGCTAAGCCCCGCATAAGTTTGTAACCTCATCATCTTCCCTAAATCCTGTCAATATCAAAAGCTTTAAATCGGATCAAATAAAAGAAGAAAATATATTTATCTCCATAAATTACAAGTGTTAAAAGGGATGGTTTTGGGTTTTAAAAGGGATATCACGTTAATTTACATCCTAGGTTATAAAAAAGGCCAAATATCAAAACTATGCATGTTTGTAGATCGATTCCACCAGGTATTAGGATCCTAACCTAATGGGACAATAGAAACAATAAAATTACGAATTAGCGAACAAATTTCAGAAATTTTAGTTTGATTCTGAGATTTAAATTACCTCTAGAACCATAAGAAAAATATTTAAGTAAATTTTGTATGAAACTGACGCAAATAGAGAATAATAATGGATATAGAGGAATCGATTAGCTGACTTAAACCAGTTTGGGATAGATAGTAGTTGATTTGTTGATTGACTGAAGATAGAAACAGCAAATTAAGGGTTACGAAATGCGCTGAGTTCGCAGATATGCTTAGGAGAGCAATTTACCTATCAAAATTACTGTACTCTCGCGGCGATTCCTTAGCTATTCCTTGAAATCGTCTGTAAAAGCTTGGATATAAGTTTGAAGAAATTAAGTTTGATAGCCATGGGAGAAGGGGGATGAGGAGGAAGGAATTTGTTTTTTCGCGTCATCGAGGGAGACTTAGCCAATTGTTATTAGCCACGTGTGCATTCACAACGCACAACCTGACCCGATCCGGTAACCAAATCGGTTTTCAACTGAAAAAAATTCCTTGATACACCCTGTATTTCTGAAAAGGACATTTACATCCCTAACAATGGGAAATCGATTGCAGATGTGTCTTTGCATTAAAAATTAAACACTTACAACCCATTTACTTTGTAAAAAAGATTTTAAAAAAATACTTATTAAGGAAAAGACCTTTGATTCAATAAAGAATCAAAAAACGATTAATTGACTTAGGAATAAGCCATTTTCTAAAATATCCATGCATCAATCTAGTATGCACAAACATGAATTATGTAAGAATTGAATGCCGACAAATAGGGAAATTAGATATAAAAAAATTAGGTAACTGAAAAATGAATAAGGCAATTAAAAATGTCTATGAAATCCAAAGATCAAGTTTTTTTTGATAACTAACTTTTTATTAATCACCAGTAAACTTTACAAATTACCATAGCTAGCTAACACATCTACGCTATCATATTTACCTGATGTTCTGCTCTTCCTATATTTTAAAATCTAAATCTTTGAACTATATCAACTAATCTAGTAGGAGCTCGTACACAGCAAACACAAGCTACCTCTTTAGCTATCCTCTCCCATTCTTTACTTGTTTTCTCAAAAATCCTTTTGTTCCTCTATATCCATATACTATGTACTACTTTAGAATATATCATCTTGAATAGTTGAGCTTCCTTTGACTTGCCTTTAGCTCTCTTGATCACCTCATATACATGTTGTTCCCAGGTAGCTGCTACTATATTTTGGTTCTGTGTCCAGTGCATTAGTTTTTGCATCATTGTTTTTGTATAGTCACACTCCACAAAGAGATGAACTCTTGTTTCCTCTTCTCTCTGACATAAGTTGCATTTGCTTTCTACCTGCATTCCCCATTTGCTCAATCTGTCAGCAGTAAGTAGTCTATTCTGCATTTCCAACCACACCGTGAACTTAGCTTTTGGCCTTGCAGCATTACCAAACATCAAACACTTCCATGGCGTTCTTGGTTGATCACCTAGTAGTTGAAGATATATATGTTTAATGCTTTTTTTTCCTGCAGATATATGCATTGTTCTGTTCTAGTAGATGTTTGGCATCTATTATTTTCCTCACCATCCAACTTGCTTGTTGTGGAATTTTTACTTGCTCCATTTATTTACCTTTTATATAGTATGCATGAATCCACCTTATCCATGTGAGCACGTGATTTTTGTTTCGCACGACAATCGTTCCAAAAGGAAGTAAAAATAATAATTGGCCCTGCTGTACAAATTTTGGATTTCTGTGCGGCACCTTGTTAATTTATTTGTGACTTCGGCCCATTTTTATTTATTTACTTTATTAAAACAAAATTCAAAAATATATATGTGTCCTGCATAATTCGAACCGTAATCCGGTCGTTAAATAGAAAATCATGAATAGGCATCTTCGTCCGTGATTTTATTTTTTGTTCAACTTTACCTGTTTTGAAATATTTTAGTGTGCAAATAATCGTATTGAGTGTGTATTTAATTTTAATTTGATTTTTGGTTTAGTTTTGTTTTAAAATAAAAAGAAAATAAATAATAAAATAAAAAATATATATAAAGAAAGGACCCTTCCGGACTTGGGCCAATTTTAACAAAATTGGCCCAAACAAACAGCCCAAAACCCAGGCC